AAACGCTCATTGGCTGTTGAGGTAGGGTGCATTTTTAGTTCACCTTGACATCGTGAAGATGAGCTATTGCCATGGGGTGTCATCCGTCTTACGTACGACCGTCCGTCTGTCCGTCAACATTTGGCTACGGTCAACGATAACTTGAGAACCATTTGACCCACATGTTTCAAATTGCATACAGTTGTTACTCCTATGGGAAATATGTGAATGTCCTATTTTGGAGCACGCCAGTTGACATACTTTCGAGCCACGCCCACTTTTTGGCAAAAATGGAAATGGCCATAAGTCAGAGGTTCAATGGATTTTGCTAATTTTTGGTATGTGAAGGAATAAAGACTGGTCCCAGAACATATCACAGGGGTTTTTATATTTTTTTAAATTATGCAAATTAGGTAGATTTTTCCAATTTCACTATGCATTTCAGTGTCTGCCTATGGTCAACGATAACTCAAGAACCGTTTGACCCACATGTTTCAAATTGCATACTGTTGTTACTCCTATGGGAGAGATTTGAACGTCCTAATTTGGAGCACGCCAGTTGTCCTACTTTCGAGCCACGCCCACTTTTTGGCAAAAATGGAAATGGCTATAAGTCCGTTCAGGTTCAACGGATATTGCTCACTTTTGGTATGTGAATGAATAAGGACATGCCCCAAATCATATCACACGGGTTTTTATTTATTTTTTTAATTATGCAAATGAGGTAGATTTTGCCAATTTTACTATGCATTTCAGTGTCTGCCTACGGTCAACGATAACTCAAGAACCGTTTGACCCACATGTTTCAAATTGCATACAGTTGTTACTCGATCCTATGGGAGGGATTTGAACGTCCTATTTTGGAGCAAGCCAGTCGACCTACTTTCGAGCCACGCTCACTTTTTGGCAAAAATGAAAATGGCCATCTAGATTCGATCTCGATTTTGTTAAATTTCCCTACCTACCTACCTACCTACCTACCTACCTAATCATACCTACGTGTAATATTGTGTTTAGAATCTTCGTTGCAATAATTTGATTGGAATATTTTATTGCTTTTATTTGCGCGATAATCGAAAACCAAAATGGCGATCATTTAGGCGTAGCCGCCATCGATCGCTCGCCCAGATTTCAGACTTTCAGATCTAAAACATTTATTTTCGCATCAAAAGTAACCCTGAAACAAAACAGTGAAATTTCTATTAGTATAAAACAAGGAATAAGGACATTTGATCACATTTTGGTCTGTCATAAATGAAACACTTACCAAATTTTAAATATTATCTCTCTCTTTTATCACACCCAATGTGAGCTATAGTGTCATTGACACTTGCTAACTGTTGTAAACTTGTAACTGTATCTTTCATTACATGATATGTGTATCTATATTGTAAACAGTTGTCTTATTGTTTGGGTACAGTGTCCTATATAATCAGGAGTCTATCAATAGACTCCTGATATTGATAGACTCCTGATATAATGAGTAGTGTGTATATATGAAAAATATATGGTTATAAATAGTATATATTGATATAGCCTATATAGTATATATAATGGGATTTTTTCAGGTGCAGGTAGCAATGTTCAAGTGAAAACTGTGGCTGTTGACTTTGGAGATGGAAACCACATCTATGAGAGAATAGAAAAGGAACTGCAGGGTTTGGAGATAGGTGTTTTAGGTTAGTAGTAAATAATCTTATAGTTTAAACTCTAGCCCAGTGCACATGCAGTGTTTATAAACTATAGTAATTGGCATGTTTTTAACTGTGAAATGTGACATAGACTTTACTAAGTGAGGAATAATATAGTGTTGCCTGTCAGCATAATTTCTATAATGAATTATTTCATTATTATTTTATTATTATTAAGAATTATTTCATAAATAACTGTACAATCAAGAAAAATATAGTGAAATATAGTTTCACCTAATGTAATAGCGAATAAGTTATGTAGTATATATACGTACTGATTACTCCAGTAAAAAAATTACTATGAGTTTAGACTGTTATGGTATATAAAATAGCAAATAATGCAGCCACATTCTTTCGTATAGTGGTAATTCCTTTGAAATCACAACCACCAGACAAAAGTTCATCTCACTGAGTGATGTAGTGGTTCTAAACTGGTGCAACATCTCTATTGATTAATTCAAATTACTGTGTCAAAGTACAGGGACAGAGTCTCACAAGAAACAAGTGGCATCATAAATTAAGTAATGGCGTTAGCACGATGTAAACAAAGAGATTTCAATAGTTGTATATTTTTGTGAAAATAACAGTGTATGAGTGTTCTAAGACATGTTAGCCTTGATTTAGACACTAGCTGTTACACATGCAATACCAGTAATTACTGTAGTGGTCGGAAAAATACGAGATCGGTCAGGAAGTTTGTTTGAAAGCCTTGCTTTAAATGAGGGTTTAATTAATTATGCTGCACGCCAACCTTTGTTACATTTATCATAAAAAAAATAAGAAAATTAATGAAATACAAAATTAAATGTTTCAATGATGGAGTATCACAAGATTTCGAGTATTACCATCAGTTTTAGTTCAGTTATTTTCATATTGATGTAATAAACGGTCATCTCTCGCCAACCACAAAGGCATTGATTGGAAAACATGGTTTACAAAAGTATAGGTAGCAGGACTAAATGATAAAAAGGAAGTTTTGTCTTAACTTAAAAGGGCAGATAGGAAATAATCTTTGTGGCTATATAGTTACACAACTAGTTGGTTTGTTTGCACATTCATTTCTCTCAGTGACCATATCATATAGAATTGTAAAGTAATATCATCTAAGAAATAGTAATAGTATAGTATAACTTTTCATGTTTACTTTATTAGAAACATCAATATGATTCCCCATGGTCACTTATAAAAGTGACAGGCAAGGGATAACTGTTTTATGGATTTATGCATCATCGAATTGTATATATCTATACATTTTAAAGTATAACATCTACATCCTTTACAGTAAACAATGTTGGGATGGCCTATAAAAATCCATCATATTTCCTGGAAGTTGACAGAGAGGATCATGCAAAGATAATCAACGTGAATATTTTCTCCTGCGTCATGGTAAGCTTACACGTCTTAGACATTGGAATCTACACCGCTGTAATTTTGGTTATGTTGATGTGCAGACACAGTCATGCCTCCTATGTTATCCTATGTATCTCTATGCCGCTAGAATTTATGGATAATAAATGATCTCAAGTTAAAATATCGTAATCTCTTTCACTATCCATGATTGAATTGAGTCATTGAGCACTCAAAATATCACTCCCCTATTAGATGTATTTACATCTGTGACGTTACCACCATGTGTGTATGTGAAAAACATGCAACCTCATAAATTATTGTAAAAACATTTTTTCTTATTACTTAGTATATTAGAGTATATATTATGTAGGTTTGCCCTTGAATAATTTCCGCAAGAAGGAACCTACTCTTGGTAAATGTGCTGTTCTGTCTGAAGATTTGCCCAGACCTTTCAGAATTCGATGTGGCACGCCAGCAATACCAGTATTTGTAGCAGTTACATGGTGATAGTGGCCATCGTTATCACTACGGCCATTATTGTCTATGTAGTGACGGCCTTCTTCATTTCTAGAGTTGTACCCATATCCATAGAGACGGTATTCTTCATCTCTAGTGTTGTACCCATCTCCATAATGATGGTATTCTTCATTTCTTGACTTGTACCCATTTCCATACTGACGGTCTTTTCATTTACGGTGTTGTACCCGTTTCTGTAGTGACGGTCTTCTTCATTTCTTGAGTTGTACCTCGTTTCCGTAGCGACGGTCTTCTTCATTTCTTTAGTTGTACCCGTTTCTGTAGCGACAGGCTTCTTCATTTCCAGTGTTGTACCCGTTTCCGTCGCGACGGTCTTCTTCATTTCCAGTGTTGTACCCGTTTCCGTCGCGACGGTCTTCTTCATTTCCAGTGTTGTACCCGTTTCCTTAGCGACGGTCTTCGTTATTCG